GTTAAGATAGACCTTGAACTTTTATAATCGAGTGAGGACTTGCTCGAACTCAAAGTAAAGTTAGCCCTTAGGCTTTATAGTCGAGTGAGGATTTGCTCGAACTCGAAGTAAAGTTAGCCCTTAAGCTATATATATAGTCCCCGAGTGAGAGTTTGCTCGAACTCGGGTTAAGATAGCCCTTGGGCTTTTATGATCGAGTGAGGACTTGCTCGAACTCGAAGTGAAGTTAGCCCTTAGGCTTTATAAATAGCCCCCGAGTGAGAGATTGCTCGAACTCGGGTTAAGATAGCCCTAGGGCTTTCATGACCAAGTGAGGACTTCCTCGAACTCGAAGTGAAGTTAGCAATTAGGCTTTATAGATAGTCCCTGAGTGAGAGTTTTCTCGAACTTGGGTTAAGATAGCTCTTGGGCGTTTATGATTGAGTGAGGACTTGCTCGAACTCGAAATAAAGTTAGCCCTTAGGCCTTTGTATTATGGATTTCGGACATCTCCGATCCGCGTTAATTTGTCCGTAGCCTCTTCAGTTCGGAACTTGCCCTTTGGGCTTACTTTCCGTTTCACTTCGAGCTTGCCCGAAGTGTCAGTCCCCGTGTGGGGTGGCCGTGTCCTGTAAAATTGAGGGTCGCCTTTACGGTCTTATGGTCTCAAAATTTTAGTAGTTCGATTTCGTTTGTTTTTCGGACGACAGTCCTCAAGCGTGGGTTTAGTAGCTCGAACTTCCGTCATGATCGGCCCTTAAGCCTGTTTACCCAATACATCAAAAGTATGAAGTAGGAAATTTTCCTAAGACATGAGATATCAGCAAGGAAAAATACTTCTCTCAATAGATGATTATACATGCGTGCATGTTTGATATTAGGGCTCGAGTAACCTATATGGGCACGGTTCATTTGACCGTTTAACCCTAACAACATTTACCTATCAAGACCTCGATGTCACGAAGTATTCCTTGCAACAACGCAGATATTCGAGGGTAATGCCCCCCGGTATTTGAGTCTTATTGCAGGGAACCTTGGATACTGTTGAATTTCTCCAAGCACGAACAACGGTTGCCTCGTTAAAAACCTCACCGGAAAAAACCCATTTGGGACAAAAACCAGTTTAAGGGAAAAAGAGTGCAACGCGTGCTTTAAGATCCCAAGCTTCGTGCCGATCCTTGTCGATAGCCTGCAGGTGTTAGTAGAAAGAATAGAAAGAATTGGAATGGGGCCGTACCTTCATTCGGATTTTTGATACTTAACGTGATCTTCCTCAACATCAAGCCTCCATGAATTTTGACCTCGATTATTTCTCCTATCATTTCATGCGAAGCTTCGCCCAGACCCGCTGCTTCTACGGTCTCCGTTGTATGGTTGATATCGATTTCTATTCGACCTCGGCTCTCGGTCGATGTCCTTTTTGACCTTATCCATGGGCTTGTTCGGGTAAACGGACCCTGAAGGAGTCCCCAGTTGGTCATCCTCTACCCTGATCTTCGAGTGATATCGATTATGTACGTCAGCCCAAGTGACAGCCGGGTAATCGATTAAACTTTGCTTCAACTGTTGTGCAGCTATGGAACTTCGAGTGTTGAGACCTTGAGTGAAAGCTTGAACAACCTAGTCATCGGCGACCGGAGGCAAATCTATTCTCTCCGCTTGGACACGAGATACCAATTCCCTGAGCATCTCGTTATCTATCTGCCTTACCTTGAAAAGGTCCGACTTCCTCGTTGCAACTTTAATGGCTCCGGCGCGTGCCTTTACAAAAGAATCTGCAAGCATAGCAAACGAATCAATAGAATTAGGGGGTAAGTTATGATACCATATTAAGGCACCTTTCGATAGGGTGTCCCCGAACTTCTTTAGCAGTACGGATTAAATCTCATCATCTTCTAAGTTATTTCCTTTAACGGTGCACGTATACGAGGTGACGTGTTCATTTGGATCGGTTGTCCCGTTATACTTGGGAATCTCGGGCATACGGAACTTCTTGGGGATCAGCTTTGAAACCATACTAGGGGGAAGGGTCTTTGCATGAACTTTTTAGAATCAAGTCCTTTCAATATCGGTGGTACCCCGAAATTTGATCAACTCGGGAGGTATGCGCTTCTACCTTTTTGTCATTAGCCTCGATTTTCTTTTCACCTTATTCAATCCGTTTAGTGAAATCCTCGAGCATCTTCATAATGGTGGGGTCAGTCCCTGATTCATTGGCGTTCAATCTCTCCGGCGCAGGTTCTGCCCCGTGAACAACTTCTAGCGGGGGCTCAGGTCCGACCACTTAGTGCACGGTTCTGGTTCTGCAGTAGTGCTATAGCAGCTTGTTGAGCCTGTAACATCTCATATATCAACTGAAGGCTGACTCCACCACCTTCCCTGTCTTGCGTATCTCGACCACCTGATTGAACTTCCCTGCGTACGTTACCTTCGGGATCAGCACTCAGGTTTGCATTTAGGGTAACACGTGAACTGACATCGATGGGATTTGCAATTGGTACACCCCTGAAATCCTCCTGAGGCACTTCGTTCCCTGGGGCGACTATATTATCGTTATCCCCGTGAAAGCCGAAGCTGTTGTCACCATGTGTTGGTGCCACTTGCAAGTTTGACATGTTTATCCTGAAATCAAAAATACTTACGAGAACAAGCGTAAAGCAGTGTGTATTATCGGAATCGGTATTAAGCAATCACTGTTATCCTTAGCCCCACGGTGGGCGCCAAACTATTTACCCTTAAAATTGGATAAAAATTAAACTTATATGTGGTTTTAAGGACACGTGATTTCACCTAATACCAATTGATAAATATGAAGATTAGTAATAGAAATTAACAATAAGATAAAGCAAACCAATGTTTGAATGGAATTCAGCCCTCGAGCATGAATACCCCCGGATTGATTGGTGCAAGAACAGTTAAAAATATAACAAGTTGATGAACAAGAATATAGACGAAAGAGAAAATATTGTATTGCTTTGATCTCTGTGAACAACGTTAGTCCTACAAATGATTGGAATTTCCCCTTATATAATAGAGGAATCCTAATTATGGTATAACTTTAATTACAGAAGGAAATCCCATGATTAGCTAAATAACCATCATTGATTTGATCCGTTCCGAGATTCCCGCCGCAATTCTCGACCAGGCACGGACATCTCGCCTTTCCATTATTGTGCTATCTTCGGTCTTGCTCGAGTTCGACCTCAATCATTACTGGTCTCGGTCTCGACAGGTGTTGATACCCAATTTTTCCTTGTCTATTTTTTTATAGGCAAAATATCTTCAGAATAGCATATATATGCACATACAAGTATGTCCAAGCATTTTATTATTTTTTCCATAATTTTTAAGGTTTTAAACTGATTTATTTCCCTTTTTCATCCATAAAAGCCCAATGATTATTTTCAAAATTATTGTTTTTTGGTAATTTAGTTATTGAAATTTTATATTTATACTAAAATGTAGCTAACATAATTTTTTGTATATTTTTACAAATCTATTTAGTATTTGTAAAGCTAAATTGCATATAATTGCAACATTAGCCTATTTTAAGATTTAATTGCACTTTATACTTACAAAATTGATTCCAGTATTTTAATTTAATATTTATATGTTATAAATCATTTTTAGTACCTTCAATTTATTTTCAGAATTTAATTTGCAATTTTTATAAAATAAATGGGGAAAAATTCCTCGAGTCTCAACTCAAAAGGTTCAAAACATATATTGGGGCACAAGTATTCAGATGGAGAGATTGGGTTGTTATCGTTATGCTAACTAAGCCCAAAAGAAAGAAGATAATGACTTTGGTAACCGGAGGCAAAGCCAGAATTATAATAAGACAGTTTATTTTTAAATTTTTATTTTATAACTCAAACATATTATTTACCAATATTTATGTGTTTTTAAGTGTACTGAATGACAACGGGTACAAGCTCACAGGGCGAGTCCAAAAACTAGTATATAAATATATTAAGTATATTCTTTTCTGAAACTTTTGCCGAATCATTTACCTTTTTGTAGATGAAGCAAATAACAAACAAAGTAGTGAAATGTTAGCCGTAATCTTTGATCGTTGCTATACGTTCAGCTGTTTTAGGAATCTATTTTTTTCCAACTTATTGCAAACTTATGTATGCTAATCCTTGACTTGTCAAATAATATTATATATTTTTCGTCATATATGAATAAAAACTAATTGAATATTTTGAATTATGATTTTATTGATGAATAGTTTCCTTTGTGGTTTATGTAAATTTCAGTGCAATGCAATCTGATGAGAGGACAGCTGAACTGTTACAATATGTCTATTGCAACGGCATTTCTACCTATTGCAACGGTTTTGGCACCGTTGTAGATTTGTTAATATGTCATCACAAGCATTTTAAATTGGTGTTCATCTAGTGGTAAATAATTTTAACCATTCTTTATAGTATTTTAAAAGCACGCTTGAAATCAATGTTTGAATTGACTCGCACAACTAAAAATACATGAAATTTTAATTTTTACTTTTAAAATTTACTTAAGGGACTATATCTATTCTTTTCTTAGCTATAAATAGGTCTCTTTGTACTAGTCATTTGCATCAATTTAGTCGAGAAACATTATCTTTCTAGCAATGTTCCCTCTCTTCTTCTAGTATATTCCTCTTCCTTAAACAACAACTCGTTCCGTACGTCTTATTTTATGTGACACTCTTTTCTTTTTAGTCAATCCCAAAAATATTATCACCTTCCCTTATTTCAAAATAATTTATCTTTATATTTCTACTTTACTCTTAATGGATTGATTTACAGCCACACAAATATCTATGGTTTGTTTTAGACCAGTAGTTTAAAAGTCTTTTTTTTTTCTTTTTAAACTCCATGTCGAGTCAAATATTGCCATATAAATTGGGACATAGGGAGTATCTTCTTTCATAAATGTCATATCGAGTCAAACACTATCATATAAACTGAGACGGAGGAAGTACTACACAAGAAATGAGTAATTTCCTTCAAAGAACAAACCATATAGTAGCCATGGTTGTTGTTGCCTTGCTATTGGGAGGCAACATTTTGTTGTCGAAAGTGGCGATAGAAGATGGAATGTCTGTCAGAATAATGGTCGCATATCGCTGGATTTTCTCTGCAGCTTTTCTTGGCCCCGTGGCCTTGTGGTTGAGTGGTAATTACTCGCTAGTCACTACTAAAAAACCCTAATCTCCAATAAAATTCAAAAATTGATTCGTCAGTAATGTTTTTGACGGATTTTCGTCGGTAATTTCTTACGGCAAATCAATTTCTGAAGTGACAGAACGTCCGTCAGAAATGCGCGTTCTTCATTAATATATACATTATATTCCGTGTTTATTTAACTTCAGTTTAACTGGTAGAAATTTGTGCTAATGATATGTATATAATATGTACAACTATCCTTTTTTCTTTTTAAACTTTGCCGGTGTGAGATTGCTCACATTGCCGGTCCCAAACAAATAAAGAAGGAAAATTACAGTAGGCTGGCAGTCGACATAAAACTTGTTAATTCATGATAAACCTTCATATATATGGAGTCTATCTTTATTTTTTTGGGACAAAATGAATTCATAATTATTTCAATAATTTTCAACGAATATCTCGTCTGACTAGTTTTTGGTTTCTAAAATAGGAGAAGAAGACCGAACATAACCTGGGCTTTCTTGCTACAAGCATTTATCTCAGGTTTACTTGGGTGAGTACTCTCTCTCTTGATTTTGAGTTTCAACTGAAATTATTGTATAAATATTTTTTTTATGAGATAGTTTGACTCGGCATGAAATTTAAGAAAGAAAAAAAATTTTAAAAAACTTGTGATCTTAATTAAACATGTCGTAACATTTGTCTGGTTATAAGACTTGCATGTTTTTTGAAAATATTTGTATCGCTATTGAAGCTTTTCATTAAGTGTACGTAAAATGAAAAGCTTAAAACTTATATTTGCAAATGTAGTAAAATGTCATTCTTTTTTAAAACGGATCAATGCGAAAATAATGTCATACAAATTGGAACGGGGTGAGCACCTAATTAAAATAAATTCTAGAAAACTTAAGGAGCTGTAATCCCATAATAAGAATGTAACTAGATATCTGCATTTCAGTAACCTACAAGAAAACATGAGTTTAAGTTATATACACCGTTAATGTAAAGAAATTTTTATACTATCTGGTCTTATTTACTTGTTATAGCAGGTAACCTATCTTATTTTCATGATTATAAATTCACGCGACTTACATGTAGATATTCTTTGAATAATTCTTTTTTACACTAATTATTATATAACAGGGGATCACTCTTCTGTAATCTGTTTTATGCAAGTATTGAATTGACATCTCCTGTATTTGTATCGGCAATTGATAATCTTGTACCAGCCATGACAATTGTTATCGCCATTCTCTTCAGGTATGATTATTAAATAATATTAGCTATATATAAAAAGGAGATATTTTGAGAAGTCAATTTTCGATAGATTATGCTGGAAATTTCCGTCCGTTTTTTTTTATTAGAGTTTAATGTATCTTCTCAATTAATTTAATTTGAAGCTATTAACAGTAAATAGACATCGTCTATTTTTTGTGACACATCTTTTACTTTTAACTTTAATATTACTATTCATTATACGCCTTTCGGTCCACTTTATTTGATTTTTTGTCTTTTTTTGTGTTCATAATATTTAATTTTTCAAATATCAAGAAGAAATTAATTTCTTTTTTCTAAAGTTGTCCTTGGAGTAAAAAACCTAAGAGTATTTATTATATTTTCAATGAAAAATTAAGATTAATATGGTCAATTTTATTGTTAATTAAAGCTAAATGGTAAATCCTTAATATGTGTGAAAACAATCAGAAAATCAATTAAACTGGACCGGAGGGAGTAATATAGTTGACAACATTATGAAAGTTATGATGCTGAGTGAAATCTTAAAACTCAAGAATGCTGTGAGATTTTATCATAAAATTATGAAATATTAGAGGAAACATATTCTTATGTATCATTATTTATTTTTGTAGTTAAAGGCTCTTAACATGGTTAAATAGGTAATTTTTCTTGTAAAACGCACAAAAAAAACCCAGAGAAATTAGGTATTGTCTGATTTTTTCCCCCTTGGAAAATATTATTATGTTATCGCTAAAACTCCAAGAAATCCTTGATGCCAGAAGCAAAAAAAAAAGAAAAAAAAAGGTGTAATTAAATGAACTTATTTACAGATTTTTAATACACGTTTACGAAAATTATAATAGTGAAATTCATTAGTAATATTGTCCACTTTTAAACAAGATATGCGCGGGTTTGAAGGTTGTCATTGGGGTTATGACTTAGTTTCTCTTATATATCCGATATCTCTTCCATCTTTCGTCAACTTGCGATTTTTCTGAAGTGTTATATATTTAGCAGCCTTAAATTAATATTTTAGTCCATTTGCATATTATATTTATGTCATGTATCCATCAACCTGATTTCTTCAAAATACTGTTACAAATACATCTCTAATTTTTTCTAACTGCAAGACCAATAAATGATCAAATTATTATTTTAATTGTTTGCATGTTATTTACGCAGTTTACCATCAATAGCTTAAAAAATTAAATTCAAGCTATGGTGGTTAGGATTTTATTTTGTCATCAAGATGTATACATTTAAAAAAATTCAAGTTGGTAATTGAAAATTATATTTCTTCAAGTTGCTAATGCCCCTTTAGGACTTGATTAATCCGTCAATTAATTGTCTAGTTTTTTGAACAAAATGAATGATATTTTTAATAAATTAAATATGAAGATAATACATGACAGTCATTAATCAATACTGCAAAAAAAAAAATATTCAGTCAAATGAATTGGGGCAGGTGATGAACCCTGTTTTCTTTTTGACCGAGAAAGTGAAAAATCTTTCAACTTTGTTTGAGAAGAGAGTCGCAATCAAAACATGGATATATACATAATATACATACACGAGTATACATATATTATATATGGATTATATATGTGGCGAGCCGATAAGCTTCTTATTTAGTGAAAAGCTTTCGTTAATGTGAGCAGAACTATCTATTTGAATTATTGAGAAAGCGGCCATCTATTCTTGCTTTGAGGAGTAGATTGAAGAACTTATGACTTCTCCCGCTAATGCTCCCGACTCGCATATGTTACGTAGGAGGCTACTGATAATATGTGTCATCATGTACGATTACCCCGCCTTGCGGCAGCAAATGGATTAGATGTTTATATTATATATATCCGCTTGCTGGTTTTAGTTATGCTATTGGGTAAACGATTATTTTGGTTCATTCTTTAATAATTTATAAATATATAACCCCCCCCCCCAACCCACTTGCATATTTTACTCATGTGTTATATGTATACATCAACCTGACTTCTTCAAACTGACTTTTATAGATCTGAGAAATTGTCATTGCATAAAGTAAGTGGCAAAGCAAAGTTCCTTGGAATAATTATATGTGTCGCAGGAGCCATGGTAATGACATCTTACAAAGGGCGACAGCTTCCAATGTGGTCTTTTAAAATACATTTTTTGCATCATACAACTACAACTGGATCACATGAAAAGTTACAATCTCGCAGCAAGTTCTCCTTGGGTATAATATTTGCATTGATATCGAGTTTCTGTTATGCACTCTGGACAGTATTACTGGTAAAAGAAATTCGAAATTTATTTTTCATCTTTCGTCTTTAGTATAATTAATTACAGAATGCAACTTACTTCATATGCCTACACAACCAAATTTAGTCGAAAATTAAGTTCGTCTTTTATTTTTTTATAGGAAAAGGTTGGTAATGACTATCCATGTCATTACTCAAGTGCTGCTTGCATGAGCCTAGTGGGAGCAATTCAGTCGACTATATTTGCATTATGTTTTGATCAAGAACGTAATCAATGGAAGCTTGGCCGGTCCATAAGGCTTTTCATCGTTCTTTATATGGTAAGAAAATAAAGTTTAAGCTATACGTATCGTTAGTATAAAATATTTTTGCACAATCAGGTTACTATCGGGTAATTCGATCTTATTTTCAAGATTATAAATTTCATATTCTAAGGAGGCTTACTTGTAGATATTTTCGGATGATTGATAGAGTAAAATATTTCTTACAATGATGAAAACTTTTCTATGTGTAAGCTTCATAATAAAGCTCTGATACCACTCTAATAAAAGCGAAAATCCCAAGAAAACGTCTTTAGAGGAGCTTGAGGATTTTATTAGTTAGGTAAAATCTTATATATACGATTATCGTATTGATCTTTGAAGGACACGGTAAAACTTTACTACTTTCTTTTAGTTTTAAATGTTTTTAATACGGTATTGAATGACCTTCTCCAAGAAATACTAAATCTCGCTATAAATATACATCAATTTAAAAAAAAAATCACTTCTAAAATTGTGTCCAATTAGGAAGCACGTATACTTCAACAAATTGAGCTAATAATATTATTCAACTAATTCGTATTCTAGTGTAGATATTATTTTATTATAATGTATATTATTTGGATATTATTGTGTCTTCAAAAGAGTGATTATTAAAAATAGCATTCTTTTAATATTATTTAACAAATAAAATAAATAAACTACTACACCTCAATTCTTGACATTTCTATGAAATCTAATTGTTAGTAGTTAGATCATAAAAACTTACAATAAGTAATTTTTATTTTTCCTCCTCTTTGAAATTTTCATTGGGGCTTGACTAATTTGTATTCGCGTCGTATAAGGCCCATTAAGGAAAAGCGCTCCTGACTAGAATCTTTTTTATACATAGAGCTTGAACTCAAAACCTTTTGTTAAAGGTATAAAACGATATCTACATATATCTACCACAACCCTTGTCGGTTTACATTATGTAAGTAATTGTATGTAATTAAAATTACTGCATTAGCTTCCATATATTCGTATTATGCTAATAATATTTTTTTTTTTTTTTGTTATGGTAGGGAGTTTTAGGGTCTGGGATTGTTGTTATTCTCATGACGTGGTGCTCCCAAAAAAGGGGCCCTTTGTTTGTATCAATTTTCAATCCTATGACACTTATTTTTGTAGCACTAGCAAGTGCAATGTTGCTTGACGAGGCACTATATGTTGGAAGGTATAACAAATTATTCTTATTTTTTGTTGTAATTACACTAACCTCCTAATTGAGTAAAATATCCAAAATAGTTTAACAAATTTCAATGATAAATTAACATAAATTCTGACATACGGTTTTTGGATCTACTTATTATTTACAGTGTCATAGGTGGTGGTTTGATAATAGTGGGATTATATCTTGTGCTGTGGGGGAAAGAAAAAGAGCGAAAGGCGTTAAATCAATCAAACAACGAAAAAGCCACACATGATGTTGAAGGAGTTGAGTAATTAGAACAGTGAAGATCTAATGTAAAAATAGCACGGGCTAGCCAGCTTTCGGACTGGTCATTTAAACATAGCATGTGTTTGCAAAGTTAATGAAAAATAGCCACTATTTTGCTGCAACAGGAACCGGTCTAGCATAATATACTGGAGATCGGTGTACCTGTGTATGAACTTCCAGCATATTACGCTGGAACTCCAACACGCGGAAAGTTCCAGCATAATATACTGAAGATTGGATCACCTGTGTATGAACTTCCAGCATATTATACTGGATCGGTACATTATACTGGAACTCCAGTATAATATACTGGAACTCCAGTATATTATGCTGGAGTTCTAGTATACTTATGCTGGAACTCCATTATAATATGTTGGAGTTCCAGTATATTATGCTGGAGTATTTTTTGGATTTTGAACAGTGTTTTTGTTCGGATCTATCATGAAAAGTGGCTAAATTTCGATTACTTTTGAAACTGTGACTATTTTTGAATGACCACTTATAAATCTGGCTATTTTTGAATTTCTCCCGTATCTAATTGATGGGCTCAGACTACAAATGGGCTTCCAGTTTGCTTTCTCACCTTAAATTCTTTGTGGTCAATAGGACCACCTTAAATTAATTGAATTAGACTTACAGAAATTTTCTTGGACCAATTCCAAACTGAGACATTTCTTAAGCAGTGAACACAAAGACTCTCTTGCATTTTTCTCATTTTTAGATGAGCAAATTGGAAAAATACCATGTTTTCTTCAGTCTAATCCGTTTCTTTTAAGAAAAGAGGTTTTGTTCATCAATTAAGGGAGACAAAATAATTCTGGTGAACACAGTCTCTCACATTTTTCTTCTCAAAATACCCGTATGATACCCGGGGCGACACCGAGTTCTGTGGCCTAAAGTCAAATTTTATGAGGGGCCTTAACTTTTTTTTAAAAAAAATTATTTATTTATTTGAAGTCAATTTTTCTAGCGTTTCATAGATACAAAATTATTAATATTTTTTTTTTATAACTAGTAACTCCTAATAAGTCTTTATTAATTGACAAT